TTAGGTTTATCGAGATAAATAAAACTAATGCACTAACGTTATAAAGTCTATATATTAAAATAAGAAATAAATATACAATAATGAGATCAAATAAAGTTACGGTTATACAAAACGAGAAGAGAATAATAATTTCGATGCGCGCGCGATCGCTAGCCGTGGCGGACTGTGTGGGCGAGCGAGGGGGCGCGTGCGGGTTGAGCGCGGGGAGGCGACGGCGACGACAGCGCTCGATGTGTCGAGCGGGCGGCTCCGCGAACACGCGAGGCGTCCGAGTCCATCAACGCGGGCCGGGGCTCCGCTAGCGGCCGGGCCGTGTGTAGGTATAGCTAAGGGTGTGTACGAACGTGCGGAAGCATAAGGCCGTGTACAAATGTTGTAAAGTTTTAAGTGTTATGGTATGAATGTGAGTGTATGTGTGTATGTTTTATGTAAGTATTTGTTATGTATATTATCTTGTACCTTAGCTATATCCTACACACTACGCAAGCTTTGTTTCACGTCGGTTTTTTATGAGGCCGTGGTATCGCTGCGGTCGAGCCGGCCCATTCGTGCCGAACCATGGCTCTCCCACACTAAAAGTTTCAAGGAATCCTGCTATTCATCCTTTGATAGTCGCAAGTAACTACTATATGTATGAATTAAATGAACTTAACCTTGGACACTAGTTCATCCAATATATTTTATGAAATGAGTGAATTAGCAAAAACTATATAGACGTTTATACATTTTATCTCTATAAATCTGTATGTAAATGTTAGTATTTAGTATAAGGGTTGATCTTACCGTGATTCGGACTGTCATCTTCTGGAGAAGTTTTGATAGAGAAGAAAGCCCTCATCCTCTGTATAGGTTTCAAGTCATGTTTGCTCGTACCGTCGTAGATGCTGTACTCCACACAAACCACCTTTTCATCGAGTCGACGGAGTTCGATGTTATTCTTCTTGTATTTAGAAAATTTCTCAGCGATTATTTTGACTCGTGGCACCTCGGATATGTAGATATGCTTTGGAAGATGCTCGTACATTGTTGGTGTTTCTGGAGATGGTGAATGGGGTACAAATATTATTAGGTCTATCAACATCATCAATAGCCTATAAGGGGCCACTGCTGACCCCAAAGGACTCTCACTCTCACGTATGGAGAAGGTTTGAGCATAATCGCCACGCTTGCGTAATGCTCAATGCGGGTTGCTATTAGATCTACCTACTTATAGCTGCCTGGAATAGGGATCTACTACTTGACAAGGTACTCAACTACAAAGGTTTAATTTAGAAACTGCGGTAACCGATATTATCTAGTACGTATACACATTGAAGAGGCAAAACGTAACATTAAGTTACCACATCATCGCTTTACGTCTTATGAGAGGATTATAGATTCCCACCTATTCATTTTCTCGACTCGAGCCGAACCATTCTACCTGCGTATAGCAACTAGGTTCTACCACCAATACAACATATTATCTAGATAAATATCACATTGTAAGGTCAATTTATTGGTACCTACTTACCTTCGTGTGTAACAATAGTTTCTAATTCATCAATATTGTCCACGTTCTGCCAATGTGATCCATCAGGTGTCTCCACGAACGTAGGTGAGGTACCTTTCTGGATATAGTGTGGACGAGATTCAACCTTATTGTTATTCAAATATGGCACCCTTTTGAATTTCTCTCTAAAAGGAGCTATAGTTTCAGATTTTGACGGATCGAATCCGTATTGATCCTTTAGTAAAGTTCGGTACTGAAAAAAGAAGGTCAGTATCTGACTAAAGGTTTTTTTCAGAACTTTCAAGTGTGGGAGAGCCATGCTTCGGCACGATTAGGCCGGCTCGACCGGAGTGATACCACGGCCTCACAGAAAACCGACGTGAAGCAACGCTTGCGTTGTTGCGCCTATTAACATGTCCATGGCTGGCGCTGATCGCTTACCATCAGGTGAATTCAGGTGATCCGCAGCCTCGTTTGCCTCGTATTGCATAAAAGTTACTAATCGTAGAAAGAGTAGAAACATATCTGCATCCTGCAGCTGCACGAATCTTCTTTATTATGTGTGACGTAGATTACAGTTATCATATGTAAAATAATACAAAAAGTCTAATTATATAGATAAGTTGTATGTGTAAATTAAAAATAAAGTTCATTACATGATCGTATTGAAATGATTTTGTTGCAGCAAGTGCTTCTTGATGTGGACGTTTATCTCTTGATCTTCTATCAGGCCCGTAGGACTGTCCAAAATCCTTCTGGTCAGGAGTTACGTAACAGCACCTATTGGCCACAGTTTTCTCTTTACTGCGATGCCTAAAAGGAGAATGATGTGAATCTTCTGCGTCACTTGGTGCTTTATTTTTTGCGATAAATCTGTTTGAATTCTCGTGACGTGTCGCCCTTCCCCTCCTAGGAATCCTGTTCATTTTGTTCAGATATGTTACAACAGATTTTGCGTGTTATTTCATTCTATTTTTTATAACTGTCAGTGATTTCACGATTTAGAGGTTATGCCAAAGACAAAGAATAGGTATAATAAGTATAATAGAGTACGTATATCAAAGAGTATATATATAAGAGTAAGAGTATAAATAAGGTAAGGTTTTGTTTTTATAACTATCGTGAGACATATCAACAAAAAATCGCGGGTTACTCACGTGAGTATACTGTAAAAACTCTACTAGTTTCGAACCACAGAGGGGTTCTTCCTCATGAGCAGCGTGCGCAGTCGCGGCCATGTTGCGCAGTCTATTGGCTGGCGCGCAGCGTACAGCTCAGCTTTTCTCAGTATATTCACGGTAAGGTTTTGTCTGTGCTATTATGGACGAAAAAAGTTATGTTGACGAACAACTACCGAAGATATTTATGTCGGGCATGTTATCACCCCGGGTAATTACGAGTTATTCTTACCTAGCTAACGAAGAATACTAGCATAGACACAATCTTGTAGCCAGGATTTGCTTTGAAATACAAAGTTGTTGAATGTGAAGTGCTGAATTGGGTAGTTTCCAGGGTATCAAAATTAAAATCTAATTGGTCCGTCAGTTAGATAATGAAAAAATATTAAACACGTATTTTTTTATTTTCTAGTATTAAGTTGCAATACTTAGATAAAATGGCGCTAAGTTTAGGAGTGGGAGGTCGTTACGTCATAACGTGCTACAAAATGTGACACGCTGTGACGTCGCACGCTATTTCAAATTAATATATCGTCGAAAGTATTTAATTTTGTAAGCAAAACAATAAATACGTGTCTAAAGTTTTAAATTAACGTACCAGACGGACATTAAAATAAAATTTAGGAAACTACCGTAAAGATCTGCCCGACCCACTTCTTGAAACTGGAGATGTCACACTGTATTGAGATCGAAATATCATCACAGGCTAAAAATCAATGTAACCTACCTGTACCTAACACACATTGAAGTCATATGTGTAAGTAAGACAAATACCAAAAACAGAGTATTAAAAAAACTGGTTCATGCCTCCACATTTTAGGATGATATCAAACAGGGAATTTTAATAAAAAAACAAACAAATTCTGTAAAACTATATTTGATTTACGTAGTAAAATACTTACACAAGCCGTCTATATAATTAACATTAGGTATCACACAAATATAATAAACATTATTGCTATTCCTCTTTACTAATAACTTATCAATTAAAGTCCTCAAAGTCTTAGTTATAATGCTTTCTTGGATTAATACGCCATTTATGAGCATAGGACCCAAAGAGAGAAAAAATTGTTTCAAATCGCCCACATTGTGCCAAAAAGCAGTTATTAAAGTACTAAATCGATTCCATTATTATTTCATTACTATTTTCTATACTAGATTAATATTTTTTTTAAATATTTGATTGTAAAAAAACATTTAAAATATAAAAAACTCTAGCCCACCAATAACGGGAGTGATCCAAGGCATTCAGCCAACTGATATTATTATTATTATTAGAACCAACGATGTCCTTCGAGGCGTGAGTACCTGAAGAGTGTGGTAGACTATGAGGAAGGCATGGTCACTGTTCAGCATTAGACGATCAGTGCCTTCTGATTACTCCATATAAGTTGCTTCATCAACAGTCTTCGTTTTGGGTTTCTTCTTAGGCCACGGTACTTTGTCGTGTACGTATTTGTTGTGTTGTTTCAAATCACACAAGTAAACGAACAGTTTGTCGCAGATCGTGCACTTGTAGGGACGGACGCCGAGGTGTGCGTACTGGTGAAAATTTCAATAAGTTAGGCAAAATTATAGATTTTTAATATACTAATAATAAAATAGTTATTTTGGCGCCAAGTCAGCCAGCCTACGAGCAAAAGGGTCTTCTGAGGCCTTAATACGAGTTTGTTTTACGTGTAAAGTAATCGTAACGAGTACGCGTTCGGCACTCTGATTGGCCGGCGCCAATTAACCAACCAATCAGAGCGCCGAATGCGTAACGTGCGTAAACGTGAAACAAACCCGTACTAAGGCCTCTGATCTTAAGTCGAATATTCGTTACATCACTACACTTTGACTGCACGTTTGGCTGAATGGCTAGGCAACGTGTCGCGGGTTCGATTCTCGCAAGGAACAACTCTTTGTGTGATCCACAGATTGTTGTTCCGAGTCTGGGTGTCATGTGTATGTGAACTTAAATGTTTGTAAACGCACCCACGACACAGGAGATATTTCTAGTGTGAGACAAATTTAAAAAAAAATGAAAACATTCCACAATACCTTCATATGCTTAGCGATAGCGCTCTTTAATGAAAATCTACGGGCGCACAAGTGACACTTCAACGTTTTCGGTTTGTGTATACTGCGGTGTATGCTGAGTCCGCTCGCCGTCTGGAACGTTTTGTCGCAGTCCACGCACTTGTACGGACGCTCGCCCGTGTGTTTATGTAGGTGGTACTTTAGGAAGCATTGTTTCTGGAATAAAAATTGCTATTATTAGAAAAAGTAGGCAAACAGGTAGGGTATGGAAATTATCGAACACTAATGTCGAAATACTCAAACGCTATTCAACAGAACACTAATGTCGGAATACTGAAACGCGCTTAAGTATAGTTCTGTCACCATTAATTCTTTGTAAAATGACAGAGATAGCACGACATTTAATCACGACTTAAATTTGAGTAACGTTTCAGTATTCCGCACTAAGTCGCGCTTCCTTGTAGTTCTGTCACTTCAGATTCTTTGTAGAACGACAGAGATGGCAAAATATTTAATTACTACGGTATTTTACAACTAATCAAATTCAGTACTCTTATCGAAACGTCAAAAACGATATTGTAATAGGAATTTTGTATCAAAAACTAACTTATGACGTCATCATATTTTCAAATCAAATAGCACATTTAGTTTTGAAAAAAATTCTAGAATAAATCGAAAATTAAGTATATTGTCAAATATAATAACATAGCATAACATCACGCCTTTTATCCTCGAAGGGGTAGGGGCAGAGGTGCACATTATGCCACTGTACAATGTAACACCCACTTTTCAATATCTATGTTATGAGTCCCATGCAATAGGGGGTGAGCCTATTGCCATATACCGGGCACAATTCCTGACTCCGTGCTAATACTGAGTTTTTTTTAAACCCATTGGTACTTTCCCGACCCGGTACCCCATCCACACGAACGAAGCGCTTCGCATCAAGCTTCCTTGTGCGTGCTAAGGAGTGGAATTCTTTGCCAGAGTCTGTATTTCCTGAAGGGTATAACCTGGGTGTCTTCAAGGCCCGACTGAATAGGTTGCTTATGGGACGACGTGCTCCATCGTAGGCCGCATCATCGCTTACTATCAGGCGAGATACTGGTCAAACGTCAGTCCCATCTAATATAAAAAAAATACTTTAATTTTATTAACCTGTATAGATAGAATATGAATACCTTAAATATCTGCCCACACAATTCACACACGAATGATGTTTCTTTTTCAAAGGTGATCTTGTTCGCCTCCTCAGTGTCAGGGTGCTCTGTCATCACGTGGTTCTCGTACGCCGCGCGGGTCGCTAGCCATTTGTCACACTGCAATCATTGTAGTTAATAAGTTCATTAATATAATTTGGGGCTCAATTCGTCAAGTACCGTCATTGTAGACACAATGGGGATGATGACAGGGTATGAAAATTAAAAATATAATTCCGTAACTTAGGTAATAAAAAAATATTAGACACGTATTTTTTTATTTCGTCGTATAATGAAACAATACTTAGATAAAACGAATCAAAGTTTAGGAGTGGGGGCTAAAACGTCATTTCTTAGTATAAAATGTACTGAGAAGTGACGTCACGCGACATTTCAAATCAATATATCTTCGAAACTATTCGTTTCCGTAAGAAAATAAAAAATACGTATCTAATGTTTTTAAATAATCTACCAGACGGACATTAAAATAAAAATTAGTCATCTACCCCTCGGTGTTTGACAGTTTAAATATTTATCTTAAGACTCAAATTGTTGCCTAAAATATGACTTTTAATTAGTTCGTCGAATGTTCTGACACTGACTGATCTCTGGTTCAATTTCAATGCTAATCGAAGTATTGTTAAGGATTTTTCACATCAGTTCGTCAGCTTATAAGTGCTCACTGCTGACCAAAGGCTTCTTTTCGCACGGAGAAGGGTTGAGCATTAACCACCACGTTTGTTCAAGGCAGGTTGGTGATTTCAAATTTATAATTAGAAATTTCAAGCCCAGTTTTCTTTCACCCTCTGTGTACTGACACAGAAGATGAAAGACGATACTGGGCGTCTAAAAAACTTAGAAAGTACATATAACTTGGAAAAAGTCACATTAGTTACTTGCCAGATTTCGATCCACTACCTTTATGCATGAGAAGTGGGCGTCTTAACTCGTCGAGTACCGTCATTATAGACACAATTATAGAACAATAGGTTGCGGTCACCGGTGACCCCTTGGTGTTTGACAGTTTAATAGCATGAGTGTAGAGTTGTATTTGGTGTACAAATTACCATAATATTAGTTTCCTGCCAGCGACAATAGGTGGTAGGTAGAATTTAGAGAAACCCTCTCTTCGTGCACCTCAAGGAACATACCTCTACATGGCAAATTTCTCTACGACCATTAGTTTCGGCTGTGCGTTGTCTATCAGTCAGTCAGTCAGCCAGCCAGTCAGTCAGTCAGTCAGTCAGTCAGTCAGTCAGTCAGTCAGTCAGTCAGTCAGTCAGTCAGTCAGTCAGTCAGTCAGTCAGCCAGCCAGTCAGTCAGTCAGTCAGTCAGTCAGTCAGTCAGTCAGTTCACGTTTTATATAAATAGATATGAGTTACGTGGAGGATATTTAAGAATTCAGTCGAATACTCACAATAGGACAATCCCCGGGCCATTTCTTCACATAGGTTCTGTAGTTCTGTAGGTGCGTTCGATTATGCACCGTCATGTGAGCTTTGAGACCTTCCGAATTCGAGAATGTATCGCCACAGATCTTACAGCCATTACTGGAATGTTAAAAAGTACATACATACATAACTTCACGCCTGTCTTCCATGGGGGTAGGCAGAGACTGTGGAACGCCAATTACTACGATTAAAACTAAACAATATATGTTAAAAAGTATTGTTTTCTTATAAGTCGATTTATTGAAGTTTATTTCTTGGGAGCCTGATTTACTGGAATTTATATATAGATCATGAATAATGACTGCCTCGTTGGCCGAGTGATCGCAATTGCGACTGCCGGGCAAGGGGTCTCGGGTTCGATTCCCGGGTCGGGCAAAGTATTACTGAGTTTTTAAAAATTCTGAGTAGTAGCACGGAGTCTGGATATGTGCTCGGTATATGGCAATAGGCTCACCCCCTATTACATGGGACTCATAACATAAATAGTACAGTGGTATAATGTGCACCTCTGCCTACCCCTTTGAGGATAAAAGGCGTGATGTTATGTTATCATGAACATGAATCAAATTATTAGAACCAAAATTTGTCACGCCTCCGAATAAATACTTACCCAATTTATTTTTATTTAGCTATTTATATTGACTTGGTGTAAATAAATAACTACTTGTGAAGTGACTAACAAAATTCTCTATTACCTGACTTTATGCTTAGAAGAAAGCACTAGATGTCGTTTCCACGCCAGTTCTGAAGCAAAATGCGCATTACAGTCTTCGCATTTAGGTCCTAATTCGTCGTTTTCAACCTACAACATAAAAGTATTCCAATCAATGTTCAATATTGAGTGATATGAAGTTTTTCTTCACAGCAGCAATGTTTTTTTTTTTTTTTTTTTAAGGGGGGAAAATCATCGAATGACTGCCCCCGCCTGGGTGAGGCGGGAGGGAGTGTCAGACTCTTACTGACTAAAAACCACCCCGTTCCTTCTCCTGCACGTCGAGCCGGAGCCCCGGTTACCCGTTAGGTTCTCCGCGACTCCGAATCGGCATCGGCCCTATTGGGCCCCATCTGTGGTGGTCTGATGGCTCTTTGAGGCGCGCGCGGAACGCGACGCGCCGTACGCTCGGGTCTGTTTCTGGTCGGACGGGGAGCCACCCATGCTCGCCGTCCGCAGGCCCGCGCTTACGGTGGCCGGAGATCGTCCCGCGATCCCCGACGCCCGGTGTGTCCTTCGCGATGGCTGGGTTGCGAGGAGGCAGCGCTTCGCTGCCTCACGCGTCCCGCCTCCTCCTTAGCTAGCATGACTGCTTCGCAAAAGGAGGAGACGGCATCCCAATCCCCCTCGCTCCGCATCATGGCCTGCACTAGGCCCGGACGCGAGAGGTCGCCATCGCCGATCACTTCCCTGAGGACACGGCGGTGCTCAGCCCACGAAGGGCATTCTCCCACCGTGTGTTCCACCGTGTCCTCAGGGCGGTCCTCGCAGTGATGACACCCGGGCGTTTCCTCCCGCCCCATCAGACACAGGTACCTCCCGAAACTTCCATGTCCGGTGAGGACCTGCGTCAGGCGGTAGGTGAGGACGCCGTAGCGTCTCTCAAGCCACTCCTCAAAGAGGGGACTTACCGCTGCGATGGCAGCGAGCCCAGCCCTCGGTTGCGACAGTCGTTGCTGCCATTCCGCCATGAGATCGCGCCGGAGCTCATCCCGCCACGCACTTATCTGGCGCGGCAGCGGAGTTTCGCCCCGGCGACGTGCCTCCGCGCGCATGCTGTGCACGCGCGCGAGCACCTTCGCCTCCAGATCCCACGGCGGTAATCCGGCAAGGAGGTTCGCCGACTCCCCAGAGATCGTGCGGTATCCGCGGATCATTCGGATAGCAGCAATGTTTAATGTATAACTATCGTGAGACATACTAAATTAACTAAAAATTAGTAGTAGGCTGCCGCGACCGCGACGCTGCTCATTAGGAAGAACCCCTCTGTTGTTCGAAACTAGTAGAGCTTTTCTCAATATATTCACGTGAGTAACCCGCGATTTTTAGTTAATTTTCAATTAATGTTATAATTTTTGCGCTCATCCAATGGCGCGAGTGTATCATTAAGTCAAGTACACATTAGTAGACAATCTATCGGTAAATAAATCTAATGTTCCAAGAACGCCTGATCATTCAGGATAATTTCATTAAATAAAATACCGAATATAATGTTCGTGACGTTTATTTATTTCGGTAAGTAAGTACACAGGTAAGCGATACATTAAGTCTAACTAACACGTAATTAATAGGGCGCGGGCGCATACATAAGATACGGGGAGCGCGCGTAAGGGCTGTTGTTCGCCGACTGGTGGTGCGCTCGCGCGGGGAAGGACACAACGGGTTGCGGGGTATCGAACGACGGGGTGAGAGGGGTACCAAGGACGTACTCCTACCGTACTCAGGGACTCATTATACGAAGTATTTTTATTATTGTATCAAGGAGGCCACACACGCTAAAATAATGGTTATAATGGTGGTTACATTGCATGCAAAACCGACGCATAACCGAGTTTCATACCACACATCCACGTAAGGTTTTGCATGCACCATCTTGCCACGAACTCTCGAGTTGAGTGAGCTACGTAGTACGGACGCCAATACCAAACTACTGAATAATAAAAAACTAAGCTCTCTGGACGCCACACACGCTCGTTTATGCTCGCGCGCAAACATAAGCGAGCGGCATAAAATTCATATTTTTATACATGTACCGATAACTGTACAGTTTAATCACATACACGCTAGGACTTGCCTGTCGGTTATGCATGCACAGCTAAAAACATCATGCAAAACCTAGCGAGTATGGCCTTTTTTTAACTTTATGCAACAAGAGTACGGCGGGATTAATGCCATGGGCATTCTTACTAGCCAACCTTTAGGTGATGCAGTGAGAGCGTGGTCGGTGCAATAAGTTCACAACTTAAGAGTATCTAATATCTACATAAATAAACATGAATTTTTGTTCGTTAGTCTCGCTAAAACTCGAGAACGGCTGAACTGATTTTGGTAATTTTGGTCTTGAAATGTTCGTGGAAGTCCAGAGAAGATTTAAAAGGTTAGATAAATAGGTTTTAGGCGGTACAAAGTTTCCCGGGTCAGCTTGTAATTAATTAATGACCGAATTCATATACCTACATCAATATCATAAACACAGATAAACACACAAATGGTACAAAAACTATTGATGATAATATATCGTATTATGGTCTGATATCGCACCTGTTTATGCACCTTCAACTGATGTAAGTATAGTCCTTTCGGTGCCCCAAACACGTCACCACAGAGTTGACAGACACTCTCGCGAACTGTACTCTCCTTCAAATGTTTTAATCGTGTGTGCATAATTAGAGTGTTCGGCATGCTGGAAATACAATTTAACTTTATAAGTGACGATTTTGGAAGTGTATTAATAATTTAAACTGTTTAGGATGCGGAAAAATAAATATTTTATTGAGTAACATTTTACACATGACAGTTTTAGCCACAGATAACAAAACACGCAGTAGAAAAAATGATGCCGATCTAACCCAAATACGATAAACTGAAAAATATAGAGGTTGTGTTTGTTGCATGTATGTTTAGTCGGTATAAACATCACTATTTAGTAAGTAGTGGCCCCCTCACTGTAATGTGTTATATAAGGTAGGACACTCGTCATTAACGCTGCTGTCGACCCATCATAATCTACACACACTTTTTTTTTAAGAGTGGAAATCCATCGAATGACTGCTCCCGCCTGGGTGAGGCGGGAGGGAGTGTCAGACTCTTACTGACTAAAAACCACCCCGTTCCTTCTCCTGCACGTCGAGCCGGAGCCCCGGTTACCCGTTAGGTTCTCCGCGACAATCTACACACACTAGATACACTAGACACGTCCAATAAATCCAAGTAAAATAAATCCGACTATAATTTCGTAATCCACCAAAATCACAGTGTTCTCGAATACCAACAATAAGTATAATTAAATTCAATTTTTATCTGGTCTTGCCTTTCTGCTTAACATTTTGGGAAACACAATGTCTGATGTAATGTAACATACAACATAAATTGATTTCCCGATTTTAGTTTACACGAAAACACAATTCCACTGACCTGAATACTTCTCCACAATGTTTACACGGATACTTTTTTCCTCGGTGCAGGCTCACATGGGCCTTTGCTTGGCTCCTGGAACAATAATAGTAGGATGACATTTGTTAGAAATTTCAGCAAAACTTTATACATACTATATTGCCAATCTGGTCGATACAGGTGGCTTACTCTTGAATCCAATTCCGATCGATCGACATTGGTATTGCGAAATTTCGTACTCTTGAGTTGGAACACTAGCGCCCATTTCATTCGTATTGCGTGGATATTGAATGAACTAAATGGTATTGAGTTTGGCTTTATATTCCGTATTCAAAATTTTACTTTAACAGCTACGATTGGGGTTGTATAGTTTTGAAATTGGATAATTATTGAGATTTTATTGGATTGAAATTGCATTGACATTGAGATTGGTTTCAAGAGTAAGCACCCAGGTCCGTCTAGCGCGCAATCTACCGGCGGTCCCATTCATATCCGCTCCATAATTATACTTCTTTCGTAAATCTGCTTTCATCCATCCTTTCTACATGTCCAAACCATAGTAACATACCCTTTTCAATCCTTGTCACTACATTCTTTTTTAACGTTGTCCCACACTAGTAATTTCCCCTGTGTCGAAGGTGCGTTTACAAACATACAAGTTAATACACATGACACCCAGACCCGAAAAAACAATCTGTGGATCACACAGAGCTGTTCCGTTGAATAGAACCCGCGACACGTTGCCCGGCAGCCAAACACCGCGCCAACCGTGCAGTCAACATGGTCTTTCAATCCACTCCTTTCTCTAATAAATTTTAAGTGTGGGAGAGCCATGCTTCGGCACGAATGGGCCGGCTCGACCGGAGTGATGCCACGGCCTCACAGAAAACCGATGTGAAGCAACGCTTGCGTTGTGTTTCGTCATCTGAATGAAGTTACCGGAGGCCCAATTAAGTACCCTCCCCTTCCCCAATCCCTGAATCCCCAACGATCCTTAAACTCCTAATCCCCCAAATGCCGGTAACGCACTTGTAACGCCTCTGGTGTTCCAGGTGTCCATGGGCGACTTCGATTGCTTACCATCAGGTGATCCGTCTGCTCGTTTACCGGTTTATGCCATAAAAAAAATTACACTATTTTTTACTCTATCACTTTATTTACTCATCTCAGATTACATCAGATTACAAACTCATCAGGACTCTCATTTCCACCGCAATCCTGCTTTCATTCTTCTTCTGCCACACCCATGATTCAGTAGCATACATTTGAAACTATCTAAAGGATTGAAACATCTATCTACACTTATAATAAATCCGTAGATAGGTCAATTCTGATAGTAGGTACATAAAATATACGCATACAAAGTATATTTCCAAAAACAGGGGGTTATCGGTTAGAAATCGAGACTGATTCCAAAAATGCAATTAATAAAATTTTTGGCTATCTGTCTGTATAACCGTATTAGAAACAATAACTAAGTACTCGACGGCTTTTAAGGAAACTTGGTACAAGTACCTACCTATTTTTTATACTCCTGACGTCTTTCTTAATATATTTATTTACTTGTGTGACTGTTTGTTATTCAAACACGTCAAAACGACTTATGGGACCGGGATGAAATTAAGAAGCGACTGTGCCTGTACCAATGTGACTTTTTCTGAGTTAAGATGTAAGATTCTCTCTAAGATTATTCAGACACCACTGACCAACGGTGAAGGAAAACATCGTGAGGAAACCTGGGCTTATAAATTTCTAATTATAAGTTTGTAATCACCAACCCGCATTGAGCAATCGTGGTGATTAATGCTCAAACCTTCTCCGTGTGAGAAGAGGCTTTGCTCAGCAGTGGGCACTTATAGGCTGTTGATGATAGATTGTTTTTATAATAACTATCATGAGACATACTAAATTAACTAAAAATCGCGGGTTACCCACGTGAATATACTGAGAAAAGCCCTGCGCGACATCGCAGACGTTTTTAGTTAAAAGAGGTAGGTTATTATCTGGAGTAAAACATAGACTACTGTTTACCGCTGAGAACGCGGGCGATTGAAACACGAATAGATGATACAAATGCTAGTGATTATGTCTACTTACATATCATAACAAACATAAGGGCACACTTTACAGGTAAACTTCCTCTTGTGGGTTATTCTGTGTTTACACAGTGATGCTTGTACTGGAAACCAGAGGTGGCAGATATCACATCCATAGTCACCATTTTCCTGCAAAAATTAATTAAATATTGCCCTATTCACATGATAAACAGTTAGTTAAGAAACACTTACGTCTGGCAATAGGCTCACCCCCTATTACATGGGACTCACATAGTGAAATTTGGGTGTTATATTGTACAGTAGAATATGAATGGCGCCGTCGGTAGAGGGCACCCTAGACAGACATATCGTGACCATATTGGCGATATATTAAAGAAGGGCCAAATTAAAAGTACCCTTAACTGACGAGCATGCATGAAAAGATTGATGACTGTTGATGAAGCAATAGAGGTATGTAGTAATTGGCGTTCCATAGTCTCAAGGCGTGAAGTTATGTATATATGCATTGTACAGTGGCATTAAGTGCTGAAATGTGCATCTCTGTCTACCCCTTAGGGGATAAAAGGTGTGATGTTATGTATGTAACTTAAGTCTCTTGAGCCGGTAAACAAAATAACAACTTACATACATGGACTCACACTTAGTACCTAATTAACTATGACACCCCATAGCTAGGTAGGAACCAATGTACCGTACAATGGGGTGAATAGATGTTAGAATATTTTCCCAACATTTATTCACCCCTCTTCTGTATCTATCCACCCCTCGAATTCTATTCTCCCCATTTTACTGTACCACCTACAATCCTCCTTGTTTAGCTTACATTACTCATAATAAATAGCAGTAAAATGAACTTGAAATACTTACAGGACTATGACTCTTAGTATGATTATCGAAAGCGGTTTTAACTTCAAACCCTCTATAGCACAGCTCACATTTAAACTTACATAGTTTGTAATTACTAGTCTCTTTTCTAAGCAACAGTTCTTTCTTTGCGTCCTCTGGGGTAAGGTATGTTATAGTGCCATAGTCATCAAATATACTCATGTCCATTTGTTTTCCCGTACTTTTCATTATGGGAGCCCTTTCAGTCATACTTTTAGATAGCGGTTCATCATCACTAAAGTTATCTTCACTTTTGATAACAGTTTCCAACTGTCTCTTTTTCGTTTTCGTTTTAACATCCTCTACTTCTTCTAGTGTTTCTTCTGTCACATCTATGAAGTCTGCATTGATATCGTTAGAACTTTCGTCAAAATCGTTATTCTCATCGATTTCTGAGATTTCTTGGTCAAATTTTTCACTGACCTCTAATTTGTAAGTGCCTTCGCCTTGAATTTGTTTTGTTTCTATTTCTGTATCTTCGTTGAACACTTGATTTTGTTCAGATAAATGTGTTACATTTAAATTGGATTCTAATTTGTTGAATTTCCTGTCAATATTTTTAATAGTTTTTTTTGTAATCTGCAATGTGAATATTTTTGGATTGAATTTAGTATTTAGTAGCACCAATTTAGGAATGAAAATGGTCCTAAGTGGCAGTGCTTGTATTCCCACCAATAAGTATACCACTCATAATACAAGGTAATGCATAAAAATATGTTCATTGATAATAATTTTAGTCAACTG